GGCTCGAGCCGCGCGATATACGTATGTAAAGGAAATCTCGGCGCGTAGCTGTGCGCGCGATCGACGTTAACCGGCTCGTAGCAATTCCAAGCCGGCGTAAAACCGACCTTAATACCCGTCGTATTTCAGGTCGTAAGAAATTCTATCTACGAGCGCGCGAGAGAGCCGTGGCTCTTACGGTTTCGTACTTTAGCCACCATCGCTACTAACCACCATCGCCCGTCAGGCGAAAAAGAACGAAAGAGAGAGGGAGAGAGAGAGAGAGAGAGAGAAAGGGAGAAGACGAAACCGAGCTCGGGACAGCGAGCTGTAACAACGCGATACTTTTATCGCCACGCGTGCGCGGACCCACGCGAACGTTAATCGCGCATACCGGGGGACCCATCGGCGATATTCGCCTGTGCAGATACGTAACGCATCACCCACGTGTACCCATCTTCGTGGGCCAGAAGATGAGAGTTGAAATGAGAGCGAGCGAGGCGCGTCGTGTGGGTTTGTAAAACTTTCGAAAGTGGCATTTAATTTTAACCAGCGCCATGAGAGGGAGAGAGAAGCGTCGAGATGGCAAATCCGTTCGGGCATATCGTCGAGCGTCCGAATGGATTCTTGCGGCGCTATCGCGTCGCCTTCTTATTCGCGTTGTTTCGCGGAATAACGAGCCGTAAAAAGCGCGAAATTTCGGGACCGGAGACACGTTAAAGTTGAGGGCCGATCGACGGAACGGAGGGGCCCCTTCCGTCCGAAGCTTCCGCGGTGCTACGACCCGGCTCGTGCATATGTATATGTGAGAGCCGCGGATTTGCATTCTAATTGTCGGGCGATCCGACAAACGCTCCATTATGACTCCACTCGGAATCGTACGAGCCGGCTGGCAGTTGAGAAGGAAGAGGAGGAGAACGAGGAGGACGCGAAGGTGGAGGAGGTGAAGGAGGCTCCAGCGTCACGGAACGAGGTGCCAAAGAGCCCTCAGAGCGGACGGGAACGGTCAATAATCGCGAAAGTAAGGGCCTCTTTATCTTATCTATTTCGCCGGTCTCGCGAAGGCGACTCCGATCTCCGATGCGTCCGTAATACGCATAAGTATACGCGTTATCGCGAGAAAATGGAGACGAGGATGCGGGCGTGCCGAGCGACGATGCCACCGCCGCCGGTCGTTGCGGATCCTATTTATGCGCGGATTAAATTCGCACGGCCGGACGAGCCGGCACATTTTATTCGTGCCGGTATCTACCATGAGACGCCATATCTATTTCATTAAAACAAATTATAATCGGACGTTCGTTAGAAGTTCAGGCGTGACGGAAGGCAAGGAGCGAGATAGCGATCAGCCGGGTAACGATCGCGTGGCAATTAATGCTCATTTAGAGACGCAAGAAATGCGCGTGTATGTGTAAAATCGAAACGTCCAGGAGGAAGACGTTCCGTACGAGCGATCGTAAAGAAGAACGGGAGGAAAGGGAGAGAGGTGGAGGGGCAACATCTGCGAAACTTAAGCAGAAGTTTTATCTTATCGACGAGGCATCCTCGAAATCGCCGCGATTACGTCCGATCCGATCGGTCTCGCGGCGTCTAATGAGTGTAAAACACGCGTTGTAGACCACGACTCGCCCCCAAATTTAATTCCAACCTCCTCCGTGTCGACTACCGAATTTTTTAATTAACCGCCCATCCACACGTTATGATTTACCGCCGCGCTCGGCGATTCGGCGGCACGTCGCTCGTGATCGTATTTTTATAAGGACGGACGCGAAATTAATTTCCTTCCGACGCGACGCGTCGGCGCGAGATTAATCTCGCCCGAATCGCCGAACGCACGTATTAAATTATTAAGTACGCCCTTCCTCCGGCTTTCTCACGTTCGCTTGTCTCGCCATCGCCGTGACTGCGGAAAATAAATGCGAAAATAAATAATACACTGAGGAAAAAGGCAAAAAAAAAAAAAACAAGAAGGAAAGTTGAATCGCCAAAATCGACGGTCGCCGGTAAAAACAATATTTCATTCATTGAACAAATTAAAGTTGACGCAATAATACGTTGCATTGATATAATTGCTGGTCAAGTCGCAATCGTTGAAACAATTGGTAATTCTACGGCAACTGTTTAATTAGTTTGATGGACGAAAATGCCGTGTTTGAAAAAATTTCCCTGAGCGACATTTCGTCGATTCTATCACTTTTTTCTCAGCGTACCTACGTGTGAAATATCTCTGGAATATCTCTGCGCAATTGTCCGAATTGGGAAAAGAATCCTGAGCGCAAAAACACGCCGAGACGATCGCGCGGCTGTCGACATTCCCGACATTTCCACGTCCCGATTGCGCGTGTCATTATTTAGAAAATTGTTGAATTCTGCGTGCAGCAACTCGCGCCACAACGGAAATCATCGATCGACGTTTCCCCGGCGCTTTCTGGCATCCGCGAACGTAATCGCTCTGGTACGCCGTTTGCAATCCAACGATCGATGGACGATCGGAACACCCGTCTATCTAAAGCTTCGTGCGCCCATAACGGCGCTCGTGCCGCGGGCGTTAATGAATACTTAAAGTCACGACCGGTAATTACGCTTTAAACGTCGTGGCTGGATGTCCGACGGCGAGTGCAGGTACGTGCATTTCGTGTACACCGCGCGCGCTCGCTCGCATCGAAGGACTCACGTGTACTGCTAGGACGAAAGAAAGCGAAGCCGAGGAGCGCGATCGAGAATGCACAATGGCGAACATTATGCGAGGAGAGGACCGACTGCGTGAGTTAAAAGTTAACTCGAGCTTCCACGGCCAGCGTTCCTCTCTCTCTCTCTCTCCTTCTCTCTTTCTCCTCCATCTCGATTATCTTTTTCTCCCTCGGTTGCACCTCCCCCCCTCCCTCCGCGCTTCTCGTCCATTTCGTCGGCTCGCTCTGCACGTGTGCGCGCGCGCGCGCGCGCGATCGTAAAAAAATGCAACTAATTAACGACCAAAAAGTGAGGCCAGCGAGGAGGTTTTTGCCGCGACCGCGAGAGAAGGTTCGGGCTGTCCGAACCTTCAACTGGAAGTGCTTGACCGTACATCGCGCCTTCTTCTTCTCCGTTTCGCTTCTCCGATAACCATCGACCGGCGGGCGGGTCGCCGGTCGAGAAGGAGCGCGTTCTCTCTCGCGACTTTCCTTTTCGGCCGCGCTTCGTCAAACGGCGATTCGCCGGTCGCAAATATAACTCGGGGAGTCGCGATAGAACGGGGGAGACTCGACGCGCTTCGTTTCCTCTGATAAATACGAGATCGCGTGCTGATTGACGATGCAACGTCGCCGACGACGTTCGCATTTCATCGAGATCACCGATATAATAATCTGTGTCAATTCCCCGTGGATTTTACGCGATCGAATGATTGACATCGGATCACACACCGTCGACGTGAAACGATCTGACTGGGTGGTAATGAAGTATTAATGAGACGACTGTAACGATATCCACCGCTTCACGGAGCTAGATCGCACGAGTTTTTACGGCCGCGCACAGCTAAAGGATTAATGACAGTCGCACGGAGTTGTTAAGGACTATCCCATGGAAAGGAGATGAGTGGTGCCACTCGTGCGAGATTGTTATTACCCGTACGTCGTTTATATCCTCGGTTTCCTATTCTTCGAGATTAACCAACAGCGCCACGTCGTTACCCGGTTTGCCGCGGCGAAAAGCAATATAAGGCATTAATATTTATGGGATAGCATTCTCGCGAGCATCGGATTTTACCATCTATGCATTAAATACAACGTTAATGACTACTGGAGTGAGTACGCCGTATAACGAGTGTAAAATGCACGTAACGAGCGCGGCATAATTAATCCGCGCTAAAGTCGAGAGAGAGAGAATCGTAGTGAGAGAGACCATTAGTTCGAGAAGAGATAGGAATAAATCGGCATTTTCGAAGACTAAACTTATCCCGAATTAGCTGTACATACATGCGCCGCTCGCTCGAGGTAAAGTGAGCAACTTTGTTCCAAAAGGGAAAAAAGGGAGGGAAGTAAAAAGAAAAACACGCGGCGCATAAGAAGAAGGGATCGTTGTCGTCGACGGCGGCGCGGTAATGCGGTTAACGACAGATCTCCGAGCGGGCTCGATCTCGTCGTCGTCGAGAGCGCGCCATCCGCGCGCGATCCGCCTCGCCTGCAATCTAATTAATCTAATTAAGCCGAAGCGTCTCGTTACTGCGCGGCGCGCGCGCCATACGCACAAGAGGGAATTAAGGGGAAGAAGAAACGTAAGAGAGTGGCCATTGCGCTCGTAACAGATCGGTAACGCAAGATCGTCTCACCGATCCTCCGTCGTTCAAACCGTGTCGCCGACAGCCAACGAGTTCCATTAAGAGGATTATTATCGAATCGAGCGATCGCCGTTCCCTCTCGCTTAAAACCCGGCTCAAAGTGCGCCTCTCTCTTTCTTGCTTTCATTTTCCCCTACCTCCCTCTCTTTCTCTCCCTTTCATTTCGCTGCCTTTACATCTTGCGGACGATGTCCGAATTTAATCGTGCTTAATTCATTCGGGCCCGCGGACGAGGCGCGTTTGACGGAATAAAAACGAGAGGTGGAATTCGATCGCGCGAATTTGGGGAACAAATTTCTTTTACGGCCGTCCGGCCCGGCGCGAGCTTAATTTGAACCCGGCCCTCTTAACAGTGCGCATTCTTTTTAATTACGACCGTATCGCGCGTTCACACGTGCGTGCGATCGCGTTTCGTGTCAAGCGCCGCGTAATCTCGCGTGAACGTTACGAGAGTGAGATCCGGCCGATTACGGCGCGCGTTCGTTCGTTCGTCCGACGAGTTTTCTCGAACGAGGGCCGATTACGGCGGAGCGGAAACCCCGGAGCTGCTCCTCGCGCGCGGGGTTATCCCGGTCTAACAAACTGCTTCGTTAATTACGATAATCAAGCCGCGGGAGGTTTTCGCGATCCGCGAGTTTCTCCATTCTGTCACGCTTACCGACGATGCTGCTCGACTGCGTTTCACCCAGAAGAAAGATCCACTTACCCATGGCATCTGAAACAAAAACGGAGACTTGATTTTAGTTAACGTGTTGTTCACTGAAGGAAAAATTAACAATCTAATATTAGCGTTAGGAAAAGAAAATCGCGCGTCCGCGACACGTTTCGGCGAAATCGAATATACGAGTTGATTTTCTATTCGATCGATCCAGGAATTCTTCAAGTACGGATCGCGAGCCGATTTTTAGTGGGTCGCGAAAAATTGTTCAATTGCACTCCGTTACTTTGTGTACTTTTACAAACTCGAGCCGAGTATAGACTCGTTGCATATCTTCGTATCTAACGTATCAACGTGCCATAACGGCGGGGATATGCTTGCGAGATTGCATATTTAGAATTAATAAATTTGTAAGATTATTTTCGATAAAAAATGAAAAAGTAAGAGCAGTAAAGCAGCATTAATAAAGTGATCTAAATAAATGACCAATTTACTCCCTCCCCGCTTTTCATATCTGCTAAAGCCAGACAGATCGCGGCTCGCATAGATTCGGAAAATCCTCGACTGATCATTAACATATTAATTTATTATACATATCATTATATTTTAAGCGTGCTATATACCATGCTTCAAACTCTGTAGCTGGATTCTAATTGTCGGGAGTATCCGTAAATTTCGTCCGGCGGAACAAGCTCGGAGATATCTCAGTCGCGAAGTATCGACGTAATGACACGGGTTTCACCTTTCCGCCTCGTCATCGTCCCTAAAATTCCACGGTGCGCGCACGGAGGAGTCCGTCGGTAAGAACCGCGCCGAATGACTTGATGTGCAGCGCAAAGTTGCGACCGTGTGCTGCGCCCGAGAACGAGAGAGCGCACGGCTAATTCCGCGCTAATTGCCCGACGGCGTTAAAGAGCGTTTCAGTGAGGGAAAAAACTCGCTTCCCGCGCGCCGCGCCGAGGATTAAGGGCGTGAATGGCGTTCCTCGACTTGGCCCGTGATTTCATGCGACCGGATGAAAGTCGAAATGATCATCGCGCGCAGATATTACGCTCTCCCAGCAGGGGGTGAGGGAGGAGGAGAAGTGACCGACCGTTTTCTTCCAGGTCGATCGACCGATACCTCGTCGGCGCGGTTAAACGACGCGGTGGTGCGTAATTCATATCGTTTTCTATTAAATAAAGAATCGGCGCTCTAATTGCCTCATTGTGAGTCACGTAAGCGCGCGCGCGGCAGCCGCCGCGATAAATCATAAGCAAAGACCAGCCCCGCCGGCACGACCGTCCGAGCGAGCGCGAACGACTGAATGAAACCTTGCGAAACAAACGAGCGCGCTTCGTGCCGCCGACTAATATCCATTCTCACTGTAATCGCTCGGCCTGCGACTCGAAATATCGGCTGACGGGCTGCGTTCCGAAGGAGACCTCGTCGACCCGCCGAGCAGCGAGACAGCCGGGAGAGTTATTATATCTCGGGAGACGCGAAATCGACGGGTTGAACCGCGAAAATCGCAAGAGCGCCGTCGATGTGCTGCCGGCAAAGCGCGCGCGGCTTTATTTAATCTGGAAGCCCGAACGGTGGTCGCTCGTAACTCCTCGAGATAATCTCCGCGTGGGCAAGACAGACACCACCTCCCCCGCACGTCTCTCTCGCCCTACCTTCGTCTATCTCTATTTATTATTCTTAGGCGCGACACCGTGTGTCTCCGCGAGAGATAGGAGGCTCGACGTTCGCATGCTCGCGTACACCACGTGCGACATGCGCGATGGCATGCGGCCGCGTGTTAGTGTAGGTAGGTGGAGAGAGCATGGGCGAACGCATTTTTCGCGCGCGCTCCATCCTCTTCCACGGCCGGTTGACCGAGCGAGCGAGGCGAGCTGACTAACCCATTAGCGCTTCGGCTGCCGATCCACACGAATCGATCGATAAAAGCCACGGCGAACACTTCCTGCCGATAGGAAGGGCCGGCGTCGCGCCTTTCGCGGCGACCGGAGGGAGAAAAATCACTTCAGCCGTGGTTATCGCTAAATGAGCGATGCCAGGCGCGACGTGGAATTTCGTATCGCGCGTGAATACACCCGACAGTGTCTACGCCTCAATTCGAGGTGCCTCGAGGCGTGCAGGTGCCGAAGGTTCGAATGAACCGTGGGAACTGATTAGTCCTCATTACCGATCTGACGCCGGTAACTTACGCGCGTTATCTTTCTTTCGGGACGAACGAAAATAGCTTCACCGCTCGAGCAATGACGAAACTCGCGGAACACGGGGATAAGATTAATTGGTTTTTATTAGTAATCCGGAGAGTTGCAGCAAGCGTGTCGGCATTTTTTCCCTCCCTCTCTTCCTCTGCCCGGGAAGAAAAATAACTCGGTTCGGCTTTAAGTAATGGCCGCGAGTTTCTAGAGACGAAACACGCAGACGGTGCCGTACGTACGTTCAGCTGCTATTCTCGCGGCCCTCGCGAGGATGCCAATAATTCGTCCGTCGTGAAAATAGAAGCGCAGCGCGGCGATGGCCGGGCGGTTGGTTGAAGTGTAAACGGAGAAATAACTGTAAATTAGCGATTACGGGAATTCGACGCGAGAGACGAGGTGTGGGTGGCGCGGGTCTTCTCGCGCGCGCGCGCACACGGAAAAGGGGATGAGAATTGGCCGCGTATCTGTAAAACGTTACCGGCGAAATACGCGGCGAACGCGATAAATGACGCGATGACAACAGGCGGCCACCATAAATTCGAACGGTAATCGTTGGCCGCGGTTGCCAAAGGCGAATCCTCGCCCGAGCGACGCCGGCCGAGTCTCGGATCCGCGGAGCGTTTCTCGATTCCCAACGTCGTTTATCGACATCGCTCTCCTCCAGGTCTAAACATTTCCCGATCGCGAGGACAATGGCCCCCCGGGCGACGCGTTTCCTCGCCGTTCGCGCTGAACAAACGGGATATTCCGCGAAGCGCGTCATTAGTACATCGTTGCGTTTTATTTGCGATATTAAAATCGCTACTTTGCGGCGTCGTATCCGTAACGGCCGGCGCGTGAGCGCGTCCATTTGGGTACACAAACGTGACGTGCCTCGGTCCTAAATAAACGGCCGGAGTGACATAACGCGCTGCTCGGCCGCTTAAACGGGTCAATCGCCATCTGACATCTAGACATTGGTATCGTAGTCGAAAAAAAAAAAAAAAACAAAATAACGCGACTTTCTTACGCGTGGTCTCGTCCAAACGTATGTGTGCGCCTGTCGAAATTCTCGGGAAAATTACGTTCTCGCGAATAACGCGAGGCAAAACGTTTCCTCCGCACGATTGCGCGCGAGCTCTCGAAAATAGCCGGATTCAGGCCGCGATCCGTCCCTGTTTCGCGAGCGTGAGGACGATGGAGGCGCAGGGAGCAACAGCCGGCGGCTGAATTTCCGAGATGGTTTCTGCCGATCCGGGCTTAATTTGTAGCACGTTCTTGCGGGCAGGGGCGACGAGGTCCATTCGATCCTCGTCCCGTGGCGTTGCCGGGTTAGTTAGCGCGACTCGAGGCGGCTGCTGATGCCCGCCGCTTCTTGCCGCGCGGCCCATTTTTGCCGCTAAAACATCGTCCCTAATTAATCTCCTCGACCTCTCCTCAACCCCTCCGCGGCGAAGCGCTCGCACGAGGCTAATATGGGCGAACGGTGACAATGGGCAGAAACGGGCCTGGAATCCGCCGAATTCGACGGCGTGGCGAGCGATCGGCAAGAAAAAGCCGACGCTTAACACCGTCCAAAAGGACGACGATGAAGGCTGGCCGTAATGGCTATTTGTGCGAGCGGACCGAAAACGTACGAGGCGTACTTAACGTCTCACTCGGATGTACCACCGCCGCGTCCATCGGGAGAAAGCCGAGCGACGTTCGAGTCGACGTCCGAACGGCGAACGGATGAGAAAAGTGAGACAATTAACACGCGGCTCCCTGCGCGCCGTGAATCGCACGGTTGCGAAAGAGTCCGCGAAACTTGAATACGTTGTGATGTAATGTAAGAAAATAATACGTTTAACCCGGGATCACTAAACTATCGTAAAAATTACGACGTCTTAACAAGCTCTTATTATATGAACAGTTCGCCCTTTGTCTTCGACCAAAGCCAAAGGGAAGATGACAATTCACTTTGGCATTAACTGTAAGACAGCAATATGCCGTGCTCGTGATGTCAACGTGTGTTTAGATTGCGCTGAATAATTATTGTCTGAATTTTTGATCGCTCTTAAGTCTAATTATCATAAATATCTCTAACATACGTTTTTACCTCTCCGTAAGGATATTTTTCTCAAATATTACGTGTTTCCTCTCAGTCCTTTGATCATTCGTAATTTTTATGATCAGTAATAACGTGGGTCGCAGGATAGTTTAGTAATCTAGGGTTAACATGCAAATTCCATCGTGTCGATAATCGAAAATCTATGGACTTTCGAGGAATTTTACGGGACATCTTATGAAACTACGGGACTGGAGAAACGCGAAGTTTCGCCTCTACTTGAGGGAGACTTGTGCCAAGTCTTTTGCGAGTGTCCGTCGCGAAGCGATAAGTCTCGATCACGAAAAGTAACATCGACGGTAATAGCCGACGACGAGTCCGGACTGGAATCCGCCGAATTCACCGGTGGCGGCGATCGCACGGGAGAAAAAGACGCTCGACGCCGCAGCGACGACGCCGCGGCGGCGACGAGGGAAGAAGAAGGGCGAGGTTCGCTAATGGGAATTTGCGAGACTGCCGTGACGCTCTCCGGAAACGTACGGGATGCACTTAACGTCTCACTCGAATGTTAGCACGACTCAAAAAGCGCGCGCCGGTAGGGAACTGGTTCGCAGGTGGCATCGTAAGTTCAAGCTGAGAGGGCAGTCCTAAGAGGGCGGGCGGGCGGTTAATTGGGATAATCGGCACAGTAAATCCGCCGAACGAGCTCCGCTCGGCCATAGTATCTCTATCGCGGCGGCTTCGTCGTTTCTCGCGGCGGAATGCCGCGACGAAAGAAACGCTGGCGCGCGAGGCTTCGCGAAAAAGCGGCGCCGGATGCATAATCTCGTCGAAGG